TGGAGAGTTTCCTTGCTCCCCCTCTCACCCTGCAGCCGCTTCTCCAGCATCCTCCCCCGAATCAGCCACCCACAGTAGTGGTCAGGAAGGAAGGAGTGTGCACATCCTTGTGGTGGCCTTTGGTGGGACTTTGGGGTCAGGAAGGGGACTCCTCTGTGAATTGTCAAAGTTCAGCTGAAATGTTGTAAGCAACAGAAACGCAACTCAGCTAGGCTTCGGGGATTGATTGAGTGGATCCAGGTAAAGACTGTGTTCTGGTTATCGACTGCTGCGTAACAAGCACTCCCAAACTTAGCAAGTGCAACACCATTTAGCATCACCTCTCATGGTTCTGGGGGTTGCCAGGGCTCTCATGCAGCTGCAGCCACGGCGGCCAGGACTGGGTCCTCTGAAGGTGCCCCTGAGGTGGATATCCAAGACCACTTTCTTTTTTTTTTTTTTCCAAGACCACTTTCTTCACTCACATCTCTGGCACCTCCAGCTCCTCTATGTGGTTTCTTTCTCCACCAGCAGAGTCTGGACTTGTCCCATGTTGGCTTTGAGCTCCAAGAGGCAGAAAGCTGAAGCTCCCAGGCAGTTAACAGCTGCACCTGGAACCTGGCCATGGCCACTTCTGTTGACTGACTCCGCTTGGTCAAATCAGCCAGAGGGCAGGTGGAGAAATTGGCCTGAGTCTTGGTGGAGAGCGGGAAGGTCACATGGCATGAAAGCAGATGGGATGGGAGACGGTGTGGCTTCTTTGTGAGATGGAGCGTGCCACAAGCTGGGTCCAGGTGCTTAGATAACGTCACCAAAAGTTTGTGTTCCTCCATCGCTCTGGCTCTGTTCCAAGAAGGCTTTCCAGGCGTGATAGCAATGTCCGCCCAGAGTCTCCAGGACTCCCTTTTATTGGCTGAAGCCTGTCCATCTCTGAGCCAGTGCCTGTGATTCTGACTGGTCCAGCCCATGGGAACCTGGGGCTGTGTGGTCAGCCCCACCTGATCTAGAGGAAGCAGGAGTGGGGAGGATGGTCCCCGCGCAAGAACGTGGAGGTGCTGTGCTGGGCGAGGGAGGATGGATGCCGGGATGCTACGTCACCTGCGGGTCTCCTTGCCCTCCCTGCTGCCTGCTGCTTTGGTCCACTTTGAGTTACCAACATGCAGGGCACGGTGCTGAGTCCATGGGTCTGGGAAGAGCTGCTCCTCTACCTGGAGAAATTCCCTACCCACCCCTGCCTGCCGCCTCTGCCCCCCCCCACCACAGCAGACACTGAGAGGATAATGCACAAGAAGACTTCCTCGCCTAGCCCAGCTCTGTAGTGTGCATTTTTCTCCTCCATGGAAGGCCTTCGAATCTTTTTTGTCTAATTCAGCGAGTGAGTCCTCTCCCAAACAACACTGTCTCTGAGGGAAGACAGAGAGATGACAGGTGCAGACTCCAGAGCCAGACTGCCTGGTTCAAATCCTGACTCTGTCGCTGGCTGTGTGGCCTTAGACAAGTAACTTTACCTCTCTTGGCTTCAATCCTCTCACTTGTAAAATGGGGACCGTACTAACACCTAGCTCATAACCCTAACTGTAACCCTAACCCTAACCCTAGTCAGGAGGAATAAAAGAATTAATACATGAAAATTCTTGAGACATTCTGTCTTGCTCAAAGTAAGTTCTCTTTAAGCAGTAGTGATCCTACTTTTCTTTATAAAGTGTTCTTTATATAGTAAGGAAATTCATTTCTTGTTTGTTCAGTGTTTTACAAATAATTTTTTCCTGGGTTGTCATTTGTCTTTTGACTTTGTCATGGTAAATTTTTTGCCTTGCAAAATTTTATCATATTTATGCACTCGAATGTATCCACCTTTTCTTGGGACAGCTGGATATTTTTTCTTTTCTTTTTTTTTTTTTGGTCTTATTGAGAAAGAACTTTCCTCACATTTTTTTCAGACGGATGAGGATTCAATGCTCATAAGAAGAAGAAAAGTATTGAATCAATTTGTCAATATTGCACTTCTTTTTTCTCAGATTTTTTCTCCTTTGCATTGACAGCTCCAAGTGCAAGAAGCAAAGTTCCTGAAAATGCTAATATTAGAGGGCTCATTGTGAATCTTTTAAGGCTCTATGAAGACGTAAATTGATATTTAAACACAAGCTGTTCCTCAGATAGAAATGATTATTTTGTAGGCTGAATGAACAAAAATGAAAAGCTTGGCTTATAGTAACCATTGTTTGCTTCAGTCTTCCCTTACCTAATGCCAAATTGAAAGTTTTATTTTTCTTTTTCTTCCTGGACAGAAAAATATTTGGCCAAGATAGGAGTGAAAGGAATTTTTAAATGCAGCTAAGTGTTTGGAAAAAATGGACTTTTGTGAATCCCGCTGGGACTTCGTTTCATAACAAAAGTTTCACAATGTGCCGTGTTCGTGTCCATGTGAAATCGGTTGTTTCTGAGTGCAGAGGCATGGCAGGAAGGCTTGGGGCTTTGTTTTTGGACTCTGCGCCACTGCAGTGCAAGGCAGACAAAAGTACTGGGATGCCCCGGGCCTGGGAGTCCCCTCCACCTGCTGAGTGGGACAGTGTCTGGGGCAGCCCAGCCGCCCTCTGAGCAAACAGCCAAAGTCCCATCCTTTCGTTGGCGTGACCTGTGTCCCAGGGCACTTTTGGGGACTTTCCTTTTTCCTCAATAGCCCTGAGAACATACTCCTTATGACTCTGAGCTCTACCCTGGAGTCTATCTGAGCCTCATCTGTTATTTTGAGGTTCCTCTTTACATTAAAAAAAAAAAAAATTAGAGAAATTCCAAACCGGGGAATTATATATTATTTATATATTATTATGAATTACATATATAATTATTCTATAATTATAATATATAATTATTATAAATATATAATTATAACATATAATTATAATATATAATTATATATTATATAATAAATATAATATATAATTATTCTATAATTATAATATATAATTATTCTATAATCATGCCATGTTTTACATGTTTATATTAATCGTATTAAGGCTTTTGACCTACAAAGGTATAATGCAATGTAATTGTCACAATTATATTGTCACAAGACATTTGAACAAATGTGACAAACATGTTGATGCGTGAAGCATTACAGCCAGGATGGGTGGTGATGCGACGGAAGTTTATCCTTGATGACAAATGTCTTCTTGTGATTCACACTCTCCTGGACTCTGCCCACAATCCCATTTGAAGATAAGATACAAAGTCTAAAATTGGTGCCATTTATATAAATAAGGCCCAGGGCAAATGGCCGCCCTGGCTCCCCTCCCAGCCCCATCCTGGGCCTGTTTTGATCAAGTCTGGGCACCTCCTCTCTCAGCATCAATGAAGCCTTCCCACCACAGAGCCTGGGCCAGGTTGGGAGGGCTGAGGCCGCCTGAGTTCTTTCCGGCTTTCACCACCGAGTCCAGGCAGGCTGCATGCATTCACACAAGCACACACACGCACACACACGCGCACACACACACACAAACACACACACACACACACAGTCTACTTATGGGAAAAGAAAGGGTAAATGTTACTGGATTCAGAGAAGCAGAGTGGAGGTAATCAGGGATCCAAAGGGCAATTCCAGGAGCCTCCGGCCAGGAGTGGCCACTGTCGCCCCTCGCCCAGGAGCCTGCCCCTGGACTGCACAGTGATCGTGGGTCAGGGTCTTCACCATCAAGGGCTGGCCTGGGGCTTCCCTGGTGGCGCAGTGGCTGGGAGTCCACCTGCCGATGCAGGGGACGCGGGTTCGTGCCCCGGTCCGGGAAGATCCCACCCACATGCCGCGGAGCGGCTGGGCCCGTGAGCCATGGCCGCTGGGCCTGCGCGTCCGGAACCTGTGCTCCGCAGCGGGAGAGGCCACAACAGTGAGAGGCCCGCGTACTGCAAAAAAAAAAAAAAAAAAGGGCTTGCCTTGTTCCTTACACTCCCCCTGCTTCCAGTGTTGGAGACACACCCACCAATGGGCCAGCTTGTTCATACCATTTAGTCCACGTGGAGCCTGGGGACGGGGCTCAGGACTTAGGAGTCTGCGGACTGGCTGTCTCTGCTGCCAGGGCCGTCGTGTGCCCCACTTTGTTGGGAATGAACAATTGTAGGTTTCAAAACCTTTCAAAGTGCCTTCCTCTTTGACTAGAAATGCCCTACTGGGAATTTATCCTAAAGGCATCTAATCAGAGACGTGCAGAAAGGTTTAGCTTCCAGTTCTGTTTGGGAAATTAAAAGTCGAAGGAAACTTTAAGACCCAGCCGTGGGGGGAGGGGCTTGCTGCTGTTGTTTTTTTTTTAATTACAGTTCCTGTTTATTTTATTTTTTGGCCACGCCTCGCGGCTTTTGGGATCTTAGTTCCCCGACCAGGGATTGAACCCGTGCCCTCAGTGGTGAGTGCACAGAGTCCTAACCACTGGACCACGAGGGAACTCCCTAGAGTTCCTGTTTAGAATGTCATGAGGTACAGATTACAAACAATGATGACATAGCGGTGTATTTATGGACATTGGAGGGGGTCTATGTTGTAGTAAGTTTTCAAAACATGTGGCTTATAAACCGGTATGTATGAGTTGGTTCCTTTCTCTGTAAAATATGTTTATGGGGAGGCTTTGGAAGGAGCTACCTTAACTGCCGACGTCTGTAGGTCAGGCTGAGTTTGGGTCTAATCTGAGTCACTTCTCTAGTTCAGGGACCTTGGGCAAACCGGACTCAAGTTTCTTCATCTGCCTAACGGGGTGAGCCGATGAATGATCATCAGGTTTTGTAGTATTTATGAGGAGAGGATTCATTTAAAACCCTTAGTAAAGTGTCTGGTACTTAGTGAGCTGTTCATAAATATTACCTGTTTTTATGGTTTGTATTTTCTGGATTGAGCATATACTGTCTCTGGAATGAGAAAAAAGAAAACTGCCTTTTAAATGAAAAACAAAGAGCAGCGAGAACGACCTGCTTCAGTGAGGTTAAGTCCCGTCCGTTTTTCATTAAAAATAACCCCACGTCTTTTCTGTCCTCAGGGGTCACGTTCTCTTTTTTCTGGAAGACGCAAGCAGAACAGTCCAGAACAAGCCCTTTCGCGTTCGGGGGACAGGTCGTTTCCAACGGGTTCAAAGTCTGCTCCAGCGGTGGCAAGGGCTCCGTGGAGCTGTACACGCGTGACAACTCCATGACGTGGGAGGCCACATTCAGCCCCCCAGGTAAGGGCGCCGCTGGCCCGGAGGGATGCTCAGGGAGGCGTAAGGAGGCCAGACGCTCCGCTGTCGGTCCCCTGGCCTGTGGGCGGTTGAGCCCCGTCCTCTCAGGGGCTGCTTGGGAGGACTTGCTGTTAAGGGTGAGATGACATCCTCTGCGGAGATGTCTGCATGGCAGATGAGGGGCGGGGTCCTTCGGGCGGACGCCTGTGCTCCCCCTGACCACGGGATGACTGGGTCACTGCGCCATGTTACTTAGTGCCCCGAGCCTCAGTTTCCCTAGTGAAGGCATTAATGATACTTACCTCACAGCTTGGGGGAAATTAAATGGAATATTGCATGCAGAGTGCTCAGCACAGTGGTTATTGTTTCTCCTTCTTTTCCCGTCCTTCCCCTTCCTCCTTCTACCCCTCCTTCTTTTTAGTGCTGTAGACTTGCAAATGTTTAGACTTCGCCGTGAAAAAAGTTTTGGAAAGGAGGGGCTGACGATTAGGGGAAAGAAAGCTGGCAGAGGGGAGGCGTGTGGGCACCAGGCCAGTGAGGGCCTGGGATTCAGGAGGGATGGTCTGGACCGGTGTGGGGACTGGGTGTGTGCAGATGTGGCTGAGTGCGTAGGTGGGTGTTGGGAGGCCACATGGTCCTGTCTGACGATTCCTGTTTCCTCCGGGGCTCAGTGTGATCCGTCGCTGGCCGGGCATGAGGTCAGAGGTGTGGGCCAGGAAGCTGGGGGAGGCCGGAGGTCTGGAGTGGGAATTGAGATGGGGAGAGGTGATGGGGGGCTCAGAATGTCTCGAGGTAGCGTGGACAGGCTGCCCAGTCCAGACTGGAGACTAAGAAGGGAATCGCAGACGTGGAGGGCAAAGTGAGAGTCTAGAATGGTCTCCTTCAGGAGGAAATGACATCTCTGACACAGGCAAGGAGAATTCATTTTCGGACCATTTAAAGGAGGCTGCGTGTCTCAGGTGTTAAAAAACCATGGACCCCGGAGCCACGCAGCCTGGGTCACCCCTCTGCTAGCTGTGTGCACCCGGGCGCCTTACTCGCCTGCTCTGTGCCTCAGTGCGCTCGTCTGTAACGTGAGCACAATAACAGTATTGGGTCATAGGGTGACTGTGAGAGTGGAATGAGCTAACACACAAGGAGCCCACAGGAGAGGGGCCCGTAAGCACCGGACGCATTTGCTTGATTCTGCTGCTGCTGTGAGCTGGGACCAAGCTCGTACCTCCACCCCCGGAAAAGGGGCAAATTCGGTGCACACAGAGCATCTTGCGTGTTTGCCCTCTCCGATCCCCGAGGCCAGAGCTTGTCTCTGCGTCCTCTACCTGTCCAGACCTGCCTGTCCTGCCCCTGTTCGTGGCTCTTATCACCTTCCACCTGCTATCAGTCTCTTCCGTAAGAGTCTGATCTCCGTGCCCCTTGGGGCTGACACAGTATCAGGCATCCAGTCGTTTATCTTGAACATGTTTTAAGGTCAGATCTGCTGAATCCTGACTGTTTCCCCACCCAGAGAAATGGGGAGAAGTGTAAACATTTCTGCCTGGCAGTGTGCTCTTTATTTGTTCATTGAAGGGATTTTCACACTCCAGGGCAGTGATACTTTGGACCTGCCTCGGATCCAAGCGCTCTCTGGAGACTCGCGGTTAGAAAGTCGCACAATCCCGAGGGAGAACCCCGGGGTAACTTCTGGGTGATTTAAGATGACAGCCTGGCTCGGGTCATAGGCTTCCTATAAGGCGCGTCTTCCAGCAGCAAGTCCCTGAGGGCATCTGAGCACACACCTGCACAACGAGGTGTGGCCCTCTGTGGGGCAAGCTGCCATCAAAGTCCAGTGAACTTTCTTCTTGTTGGTGAACGTGGTTCTCATGACAGAGAGACGAGTCATCACCAAGGCTCCTGATAGAGGATCCTGACGGAGCCAGGAGTGGTCTGTTCTCCCTCGGTGCTGCCATATTGGTTGCTATCACCTGCTTGAGGTCAGGGCAGAGGTGGGTATCAGTGGCCTTTGGGCTGAATCAGGTCCTCAGATAGGTCTCATTGACCTGCCCTGTGCTGGCCTAGGCTGGATTAAAAAAAATATTTTTGAACAAGTTATGACTATTAGTTATTACTTCATTTAATTTAAAATGGCAAAGGGTCTCTTTGAATGGCTTCTGGGGTTTGGGGGGTGGGTGGGTAACTTCTTTCCTGTGCTCCTAAGGACTGAGGGAAGTGAGGTATGGATTATGACCTATATGAGGACTCAACCAACGGTAGCACTGACCCATCATCATAAGAAAGAGAAATGTGCTTAAAACTAGAACGACCACCGCATGGAGAGCTCGACCCACGTCGTGAGAAGGTGTCTCTGCTCTTCCCCAGGTCCCTACTGGACTCATGTCCTATTTACATGGAAGTCCAAGGAGGGCCTCAAAGTCTACGTCAACGGGACGCTGACCACCTCAGACCCAAGTGGAAAAGTGTCTCATGCCTACGGGGAGCCCAATGTCAACCTCGTGATAGGGTCTGACGAGCGCCAGCCCAAGCGCTACGAGAACGGCGCTTTTGACGAGTTCATCATCTGGGAACGGGCCCTGACGCCGGACGAGATCGCCATGTACTTTACAGCTGCCATTGGTCAGTGATGGGGAGGGGCTGCGGGCCGGCTGTGACGTCACTCCTGGGGAGGGGGCGGGCTTCGGAGCCACCTCCCCTCCGCCGCAGTTCTCTCTTCCTCCCTCTCCTGATGCGGCCGTCGGCGCTGCAGGCTGAGATGTGTCCTGATCGGCCTCACAAATACGATGGATGTTCTAGAGCCCCTGCTCTCTGAGATGGAGGAATCCACAATTTACCAGAAACACGCTGAGATGAATATTCTCCTGCCGTCACCAGGGAGTTTTCCAGGTGTTTGTGACAGATGCTTATGGAAAGCTTTGGGAATCAAGTGTTCCAGGTCCATTAGTGCATTTGATCCACAAATGTCTACCACGTGCCTCCCGCGTGCCAGACTCACCCACCACGGGCCCTCGGAGCGCCCCCAGGACGCCCCCTTCCTGTTTAGCACAGAGCAGTGGTTCAGATCAGGAACCCGGGGGACGGTTGGACCTGGGTTCAGGTCCTCCGTCAACCACAATGAACTGTGGGACTTGGAAAGTCACTAATTAAAAAAATGGAGGTAAAATTCGTAAAACGTGAATGTCACCATTTTACAGTGTACAGTTCAGTGGTACTTACTATGTCCACATGCTGTGCAACCAACACCCCCAAAGGAGCCCAGCACCAGTGAGCAGTCAGTCCCGCTTTCCTCCTTCCCCAGCTCCTAGCAATCACTAATTTACTTTCTGTCTCTATGGATTTACCTATTCCGGATATTCCATATAAATGGGATCGTATGTGACCTTTCGTGTCTCATATGACGTCACTAGGAATCTCTGTTTTGGACTCTGCCTTCCTTTGCATAAAGATCTGTCTGCACAGGAAGCTGTGAGCTAGGGCTGCAGGTACCCAAAGGGGGCGTTTCTCTGGGTTACCTGTCTGGAGGGGGCCCCTCTTCTAACCTGTTAGCTAGAGCAGTGCCATTTTCTGATGGGTCGGTCCAGCTGAGGTGGCTGCTTCTTTTCTAATTCACACAAAGGCAGAGTGTTGATCAGCTCTCCCACTGCTCAGGTGTCCCCCCAAGCCCTGCGATGCTTGTGGCCGTTCCTTCTGTAGAGAAGCCAAGGGAGCAGAAGGTTTTGTTCAGAGTCCCATGGTTTGAAAGTGTGTTTCTTTGACACCAGAAACACACTCTGCACAATCAGATGCGCTTATAACAAGAGCCAGGTGGGAACCGAGACTGACTTAGGACACGGCCGACTCTCGTTTCTCATCCTAGTCTCACGGGGTCGTCAGTTATGAGGATGGACAGGGCTGCTGGGTTGAGTTTTATTGTCCTTCACTTTCTCTTATGGACTCACATGAGTTAAATGTGAATTCGATGGGACTCCTTGGCATCCAAGGAATGGATGTCACTCTGACTTGGAGAACAGAGTGTTTGGGGCTCTGATCCCCAGAGCAGTGTCACACCTTACCCTCTCACCAGCTACCCACCTCCACCCACGGGGTCATTTACTCCTGGAACCAGGGATGGGTGATGAGATTATTGCCTCAGGCCACCCAAAGCAACTTGAGGGACTTCCAGAAATGAAGTGGAGTGTCTCATTAAGTCTGTGTTTTCATTGGGGAAAATACTAAAATTAGAAGGCGTTGGATGTCTTCATTATTATAATCATTCATAATGGACCAAAAGCGGTCTTGAATAGAATCCTCGGGATGGGAGGGGCTCAGGAAGATGGTCTCCCCACCACTTGATGGGGTCCACGCCGGTGTCACCTCACTGGGAGGGGAGGTGGCGAGGCCTCCTGTTTGTCCCAGCCCGGTGATTCACAACCCTCTGTGTTTTATCTCTAAGTAGTCCAGACGCAATGGAAATCCATTTCTTTTGCTTCTTTATGTATTTGAAATCAGTAAAAGCATGTATAAAGTCATCTTTTTATATGATGACTTGCCTAAATACTATTCCCAAGCAATTTAGACTATAAATGGAAAAATAATTTGACCTGGGAAAATCCATACAATCTACCCATTCGGCTGATTTATTAGGCCTTTATCTTTCCAGCGACACTGCTACTCAAAACATTCTCAGACTCTTCTTAGTTTGTCTCTGAAGCTGGGAGAGTTTTGAATAAGGACAGGCCTTCCTGAGGGTGAACGAGGTGACCATGGCTTAGCCCTTAATGAAGCATATGATCTACTGTTTTCCAGGAAAGCATGTTTTGTTGTCCTCAACGCCACCCAGCTTCCTCACGACAGCCACAGCAAACACCATGGTGAGCAGATGCATTTAATGTTGTCCCCACCTCCCCATCTTGGTGATGTCTTTTTGCTTGGACTATATGCCAGGAGAGTGGGAATCCCATTTCACAGTCTGGTCCTGTCTTACTGGCAGTATAATGAATGTCTGGGAGGAAATAATAAATGTAGGGGAAGCCAACACTGGCACTAAAGCTCAACGCTCGGAGTGACTAAATAGAAGACCTGCTTCCTGTGTGGCCTGTGGCCTCCGGTGCCTACACGGAGTCACCAAGAGTTCCAGGGACACCCCCGCCCCCCACCGACCCGAGACTGTTTTCTGGCGCACTTGGCACCATGAGCTGAGAACAGAGAGGAGCCGGCCTTGACACCTGGCTTCTCTCTGCGCCATTTTCTTCTGATGTTTGAGGAAAGGATCACTACGTTTAGAAAGTGTTCCCCTCTGGAATTAATTTGTGATCAATCAACTTCCCTTCCGTGGGAACTTTAATGTAATAGCGAGTGAACAGACTCTAGAACCATCTGCTTGGATTCAAATCCCAGTCCTCTTATTTATTTCTGCGTAAGCCTCTCCACGCTTAGTATCATCTATCCAATGCGTGCGTGTTTCATGAGGCTGCTGTAAGGGTGAAATGTTAATGCTGTTAGTAAAGTAGTCACAAGAGTGCCTGCCTGGTATACAGTAGGTGCTATTACCATGATTACTACAGTGTGAGAAGCATGAGGCCCGGAGGACACACTGAACTTCTGTAGAAATCTTGGCTTTAGTTCTTAAAGGAACTCATATCGCTGATTTCTTTTAGGTGCCCATTGATGCCTACCATCCCATCATTACCAACTTGACAGAGGAGAGAAGAAACTTCCAGAGTCCTGGAATTGTTCTGAATTACCTTCAAAATATGTCCCTCAGCTTACCCAATAAATCCCTCTCAGAGGAAACAGCATTAAATCTCACCAAGGTAAAGATATTTGATTTCTGTGCCGAGTGGATCAGCATTGGCAAACTGCCAGACCACGGCCCACAGCTGTGCCTTGTTTGACCTACGCAGGGCTGAAAAAATCAGAAACTTTAATATAAAAGTCTGGATTTCAACCAGACGGCGTGGCTACTCCAGCCAGCTCTGCACAGCTCAGTGGAGTCTCCGGCAGATGAGACTTGACGCTTCATCTTGTTTTCCCAGTACCCAGGCAGCCTGGCCCCTCTCTCCATCCACTTGGCCCCCTGTAGGCATTTGGGTTTGCAACTCCTGTTCTAAACTCTGCCACCTCCCTTGGCAACAGGTAGAAGGTGGAGTTGGGTCTTTGGCAGATTTAGCCGTGGGGCCATAGTGTGACCCCAACACTGTGACTTGTATCTCAGTGTGAATTCCCAAAGTTACGTAAAGCACTTAGGGAATGCACCACGTATGGCATTGGAACCAAGGTGTTTTCTCTTTTCATCCTCAAAATCTTTCTAGTCAAGGTAGAGGAGGATGCTGGGCTCTTGGGGGCTTGTTAACTTCGATCTCAGCACAGGGCTCCTGGTTGCTGTGCAGAAAGAAGGGATGCTTGAGACCGTTTCACTTCAAAAGTGCAGCATAAGTGTTAAGAGCAGGATATATAGGGTCTGACTGCTGGGTTGAATGTCTCTGCCGGTTACTTACAGTGCACTCTTGGTCGCGTTATGTAACATCTCTCTGCCTCACTTTGCTCATCTGAGATATGGGGAGATAATAGTACTCACCTCACTGGGGACTAAAAGGGTTCCTATGTGCATAGTATGTGTCTGGCACTTGGCGAGTGCTTTTTAAGAGTTCTTAATTCTTACTGGTTTCCAAGCTGAAGACAGATCCAAAGAAGTACCTGAAAGCATGCGTTCTGTAAACAAAGACATCCTGAAACGCAGGGTAGTTCCTGAACGCCATAGCCTTCCTGCCCAGGCGACAGAAGCAAGAGTTAGACGTCTCAGATTTCGTTCCTTCATTCATAGAACATGCTAGGTTCTGAGTATCTGGGATGACCAAGAACCACTTCCTGCTTCCAAGAGGCTCAGGGCTGAGAGGATGAAGATGCACCATGGAGTCTGAAAAGTGCTGTGAGGGGATGTCCCGAGCTGCAGGAGCTCAGTGACACTGGAGTCAGGCAAGCCTGGGCTTGACCCCCAGCTCTATGTCCTTGGGCAACTTTTTAACTTCTCCAAGCCTCAGTTTCCCAGTCTGTGTTATGGGGATAATTTGATGACCCAAGTCTCTCTCCTTGAATAGTTCTGGCTGCAAATAAACAGTCATATTACTATTTTAAAAAACAATAGGGGCATCTAATTGCTTCACTCCAGGTTTGATTACTTCAGTCTTCATTCACAGCAGGGATTTGGGTAGCAGCAGGACAATTCTCTTGGCGTTCTGCTCTGTTTCCAAGGGGCTGGAACGGTTCCAAACACCACACCTCACTAACAACCACCAGGAGGGAAAGCAAGGTCAGGGGGCTCCTCCTTCTTTACAGGGGACGAAATTCTTTCCCATGGTTCTCCCTGCAGAGATCCATCACATGACTGCGCCTAGACCAATCACTAGCCAAGGGGAGCAGGCCTGGCTTGGTAGCTCAGCCAATCATATGGCAGTATGGGCGGGGCCAAGGCAGCACTCTGAGCACTTCCGGGCTCCCCACAGGAAGTACTTCCGGGCTCTGCACGTGAGCTCTGGGGGTGGGTGTGAGGATTCCCAGAGGGAGCAGACTGCCCAGAGGGGGTGAATGGGAGGGTCCGGCCCCTCCATAGTCTTGAAGAGCTGTCTATATGGGAACATAGAATTCAAGGCAGGTCTACATAGGAAACAGTTTCTTTTGAAGCTTGGCGGTTTCCTCTTTCCTTTTGCCCCTCAGATATACTGGACAGTGTCAGAGGTCCCAAACTCAAATGCATGCAGGGACCAGACAAATAAAGTAAATGGATGATTGGGTCAGATAGACAATAGGGAGGAGTAGAGACCGTGGCAAACTGGAAGGTGCCCACCCACAGGAAGTGGCATCGAGCTGCTCGAGTCCCCTGACTTTAACCTGGAGGGTAACCTCTTCTGATTTTGCAAGCAAAACTCCGTCCGTACCTGATTTTGAAATGGAAATTCATGCAATTAAAAAAAAAAAGTGGACAGCTAACTGAAATTTAAAAGCAATTGTGTACAAACCAAATAAAAGACATTTATGAGGCAGATTCAGCCTGTGGGCCATCAGCTTGAGACCTCTGATGGGGGCCCGTGTTGAGATACCGGACTCTGGGTGTCCTGGAGAGGAATCCTGCAGATCTACCCCAAACTCCACCCATCTCTGATTGGATGAGAAATAAAAATCTTTGGCATCCATATCCAATTTTCCATAATGCCCTGGCTTCTCACCACTAACAGTTGAACAGGAAAGTGACAAGAAGTCAGTTCTTGTGCTGGGTAATAAGGAGACCATTAGCCACACATGGCTCTTGAGCACTTGAACTGTGATCAGTTTAAATCAAGATCTAAAATACACACTGGATCTCTAAAATTTAGTATAACAGAAGAATGTAAATTATCAAATTGATGATTTTTATATTGATTGCATGTTGAAGTGATATTTTAGATATATTGGGCTAAGTCAAATGTATTATTAAAAAGTAATTTCATCTGTTTTCTTTTCACTTTTTAAAATATGGCTATTAGAGGGCTTCCCTGGTGGCGCAGTGGTTGAGAGTCCGCCTGCCGATGCAGGAGACGCGGGGTCGTGCCCCGCTTCGGGAGGGTCCCCCAT